TGTGCAATGATGGTCTACTGCAAAAGGTCTGGGCCAGTAAAATGTCTATTTTGCCTTTGTCGCGTCTAAAGATCCCTTTACACATTGCTTGTGTGTTTTGCGTATCTCGACTATGGCTGAGGTACTTGTGGCTGAGGTCCAGTTAGATGATGTAGGCATTGTGACATTGAGCCGCCCTGTGTCGTGTGTCTTGTAGACGAGCTTCAGTTTGTCCTGATGTAGCTCAGAGAGGACACCGGGTTGTTGGTCCCTGGCATGCCTGTCCTGATTGTTTTGGCCTTTGCTGGTGAGTTGCATTAGCCGAATTACGACTTCTGGGCGAGGTTCAAACCTATTTTGCTCTCATAGGTCGGCTTGTGCACCTAGTTATTTAACTTGGAGCTCAAGGCTATGGCCGAGCTTCTAACTTGGCAATTTATTTTCTACTTTCTTGCTCTATATTTTGACACGCCTTTTACAAGTTACTTTGGCTTGTTGTGTGGCATGGAGCTGATTTGGCATTTTGAGAATGCCGTATTTAGCATCTCGGCTTAACTTGCCGTAGTGTTTTTGGGTTTTCGATGGGGCTCGTTCCTTTTCCTTGATCCTCGTTTGTACCCTTACGAGGGTACTTTCGGTGCTTGGACTCGTAGTCTGGAACCTAGAATACATTGCTTGGCCGGAACGTGCTGTTGTAGGCCTTCCACAAATGAACCTAGCTCATTGGCCAAGGTATTGAATTACGGTCTGGCTTATAACGCCAAAATCTATCCTTGTTTCTTTAGCTTGCCACTTATCTTTAGTGTTGCTTCTAGAAGCTATGGGTTCATTGGATTGATCCAGAATAGTTACCCATACCCCTAGTTCGGCAATTTGAGAGCTCGGGTTGCCGGGCTATAATGTTACTGCTTTTTTGGACCTCAGGATGTAAATCAAGACCATGACGAGTCTCAAGGTTTGTAAACCCTTTCGAGGTAGAACATATGACCATGTGGTTGTCTTCTTTTGTTGGCCGAAGTATGACCGGTCTGTCTTTATTGGGCTTGGTGGCCCTTTGTATCACTTTTGGATGCTTCAAGTCTTAAGAATTGTTGATCGAAGTCCGTTCATGTATCTCTCTAGTCAAGTGTGAGAACCTGCTAGGATCACACTCACATGCTTCTGTTCTTTCGAGTTGTTGACTGAAGTCTATCCGGTGTTTCCCTCTAGTCGGTCCTACTAGGATTACACTCAAATGCCTCAGGTTTTCCATGAGACTTGGTCCGTGGCAGGTCGCTTTAGCTTGGACCGTGGTAGGTTGCTTTAGCAGGGACCATGGTAGGTCGCTTTGGCCGGGACCGTGGTTGGTAGCTCTAGCAGGGACCGTGGTTGAGACCGAGATTGATTGCTCTGGCCGAGACCGTGGTTGGCAACGGGTATCCCTCAAACTGCTCTAGGCCTTGATGACTAGCTTAGTCATTGGGGTAGTGATGCTAGTATGTTGAAAATGCAAATTGGTATGTTGCAGTGGACACTCGGTTGCAAGCAAGTTTGCACCAAATATTATTAAGTAACTGATGATACATAATCAAGGGTGACGCCTTATGTCTGCTCAAGAGCTTGGCGTATGCACATGCTTCTTTTGAGGAGTTGCAGATGATAAGTGATTGAGGGCGGTGACCCTTCGGTCATTGTGGAGCTCGAGGTGTTCGTTCAGCAACATAGATCAACGAGCGGCGAGGACGATGCCCCTTTTGCCATTTTGGAGCTTGGCGTATGGGCGAGTTCTTTTTGAGGGATCTCAAATAATAACTAAAAGCGACAACCCTTAATCTGCTATGGAGCTTGGCCTTTTAGTCTGTCTTGGAATAGCTCGGAGAGTGCAACGGATTTATTGAGCCCTGGCGTGCCTGACTAGGTTACTTTGGACCTTGCCAGTGAGGTGTTTGGCCAGGCTATGACTTCTTGGACGAGGTCTACATCTGCTTCGTTCTCATGGGTTCATGGGTCGGCCTATGAGCTGAGTTGCTTAACTTGGAGCTCGAGGCAATGGCAAAGCCGCCGCCATTTTGGAGCTCGAATCGATGGCCGAGCTTGATTTGGAGCTCGAGACAATGGCCGAGTTGTTTAACTTAAAACTCGAGGCTATGGCCGAGTTGCTTGACTTGGGCCTGAGGCGATGGCCGAGCTGATTTGGAGCTCGGGACGATGGCCGATCTACTTAAATAGGAGCTCAAGGTTATAGTCGAGCTGCTGAACTTGAACCTTTATGCGATGGCGAAGCTGCTTACTTGTCGCTTGAGGCAATGGTCAAGCTCTTTAACTTCTCAAGGCTATGCTGAGCTGCTAAACTTGAAGCTCTATGCGATGGCTGAGCTGCTTAATGTAACGCCTGACAACTTGCAAGGATCAACGCCTGTCCCCACACACTAACACGAGACTTTTTAGCGTGCTTTGTCCTTACTCGCACACTTCCTGGGAAAACTTCCCAAGAGGTCACCCATCCCAGAATTGCACCAAATCAAGCACGCTTAACTATGGAGTTCTTCCGTTCCGGGCTATCGAAAAGTATATGCATCTTGTTAGTATAGGTAGTACCAATTAATTCTTATAAGCTATTCTCAACTGTACCGTCCAATACCAGCACAGTCTCTGGAATCCCTCTCTTTCGGGTGTTGATTCGATTCATTCATGTACCCCCGTCACTGGAAGCCTGCCAGGAGCCGCTCCTTGTCCATGCCCTTTAGCACCGGCGATCACTCCCCGCCCTCGTCAGCACTCGGGATGTTACATGCCCACCAGCTTCCGCCTGGTTCATCCTCGAACCACACCGTACTGGAGGAGAGGCCCTGCTCTAGAAATTGGATGAACTTTGGGAGAGCATATCTCCCTCCACAAAAGTCCAATATGGGCGTGCCATACACCATTGTAAAGCTTGAGATGTCAACTACCTTGTGTCAAAATTTGAAATCCATAGGAGATGTGCGCAGCCCTGTAGAAGCCGGAGAGCATGGACTACTCAAAACGCCCCTGCACATGGGGCTGTCTCTGGCAGCTTTTGGGAAATTTATTCCCGCTTCGTTTCTTGGTCAAATTAGGTGTATGATATGTCAAATTTAAGTTTGAGGTGTCTAGTTTACTGTATAAAAAATTGAGAGCAATTGGTGGAGTGGATTTTCCAGAATCGTTGGGAGAGTGAGGGCTGTTTGGAGCCCTGTTTGAGGTTGGCTAGTAGATTTGCTTATCCAACTTCAAACGGCGATAACCGGAGCAAACGAGAACTTTATGACTCGTGTGATAGCTTGTTAGAAAGATAACCAAGTCTAGAACAACTTACTAAAAGATGAGTAGCGCGCGACATGCGGTTTATTCACAGTAATTAAAATAACGAACCATGTTCGGATAGGTAGAAAACGTAAAAGTGAGATTTTAGCTAAGTGGGTTTATGGGAACCCCTTACTGACTTGAGATAAGTGTTTTATGATATTTAGACAATTTCGATTATAATTCCGCAATGAGTTTTCAGTTACGGTCACAGCTTTTGTTTATTACGCTTTTTTATTGTTTTAAATGCTCGCGTAATAAAAAAGAAAAAGTTTACTCGCATTTTTATAAATGAATTACTGTGATTGTAACTGCGCTTAATATCATAATTAATGTTAACAATACCGGTACGTAATGGGCTGTTACACTTAACTTATAGCACATATTGTGACAAGATGAGTCACAGCCATCCACACTCTAAGGGAACCTTTGATTGTCAAATAGAATGCGTGTTGTTAGTAGCCGCAGTCATTAATTTCCTGATGGTTGATGCTAGTGTTAGTGGCGTAAATGATCCGATGAAGCAACAGCTCAAGCATAGTGAGATCCATGCCTATGCTGAGCACCTGCGTGTTCCCGTCTTTCCTTGGGGCCTCAGAGAAGCCCAGAACGATGGCTACTTTGTTAAGTAATTCCTAATACTTGCCAAAGTCTTCACCAATTTGAAAGGTGAAATTTCTGCTGCTATTATGGTTTCTTAGGCGAATTGGGCTCACGCCATTGATAATCCAATGCATTTCAGTTTCCGAGACTTTACTAGTGAACAAATTAAGTTTGAAGATGGTCGTCGAGCTCAAGGCGCTATTGCTATTCGTGCTCGTTTGCAGACGAGGGCAAGCCTGGTGCTGAGCACAGCCCTGTTGCTCTTGTTTCCCCTTTTAAGGCCCTTCATAGTGCGAAAAAAGTGTCCATGTTTCATAATAGGATGCTCGTATGTGCCTTGACCAACAAGTTGAATCCATAATGGTGAAACTAGGACCCACAATGTTAACGGCACCACTAGCCATCTCTGCTGCCTGAGCCTGCGCCGAGACTACATGATGATGTTAGAACAACACCAAATTGATTGAGGGGAGACCATAAAAGTTGGTGGTGCGGCGGATGATGGAGGGTTTCCAGGATCTGGGCAGTGGCAGTGATGATGGTCGGAGGACCTATGAAGCAGCCAAAATGATGACACAACAACAGACACTTACGGATAATAGCGATGAGGTTACCTGAAAGACGACACAACAAAGAGACAATAAGATTTTGGGATCTGGATGGCGGCAAATTGAGGAGGGTGATACCATTTTGATACCATGTTGAAACTATAGTGATTTAGGTATAGAGGGAGAAAGGATATGGAGAATACGACTGAATATTTTTAGTTTTGATGTTACAAAAGACAAATCATTATCCCTATTTATCCTAATAGCAGACTTGTAAAGTAAGGAAACAAATCATGATATATAAAAGAATATGGTAACCAATCCTAAGAGATGTCTATGATACTCTGATCTATTTTAAGGTGTAATAAAGATATTATGAGATAATTTTCGTATATTCAAACATTCACCATTCTTCAAGCAAAATGCTTAACCGTTGTAGGAAATTTGGATTTCTAGCCTAAAAGTTATTATGATGTTGTCAAAACCTACTCTTTATTTGGAAAATGAGTGGTTACTCTCTTGTTATTAATGCAATCAACAGTATCTAATGTTTACTATTGGTGACAGAGTTTGAGGACAAACAGGCGTGTGAACAAGCATATTTTAAGGTATGCTGAAGATTTTGAAGTATCTATTTTCAAAATCAGTAGTGTATTTTTTTTGGGGATAGTAAATGATTCTGTTTGGTTCCGTGCACATTGAATACTTCAGTAGTTTTATTGGCTCTTTTCCCTATCCTTGGTTGGCTTAGGTATACTTCCCTGTCCTTGGAATTGCTGTAGGGTGTCTGTTGTACTAAGGAGTCTTGATTTTTGTCTCCAAAAAACTATTATAATTTTGTTGGTATTTTGCTGCTTGCTTACCTGTTTTATTTGTCTCCTGTTATCCTCTATTTCAATTTTGATTGGGCTTTTAGAAGTGTTGGGTTGCAGAGTAGTTCTTTTCTTTTGCAATTCTGAGTTGTAAGTATTTTCAATTATATATACATAAAAAATTGCTTTGGGAATTGGGATGAATAAAAAAATTATTTCCCTAACCTTTTTCTCTTGTATTGATCCCTGAACTGCAGATGGATAATGCTTTGATTGATGATCGAAGGATACATGTGGATTTTAGTCAAAGTGTGGCAAAACTCTGGTCACAATACAGGCGAAAAGATCAAAGGGGTAAAGGTAAGGATAAAGATATCACAACCTATAAGCTTTTGTTTTATACTTCTCTTATGGCATAATGCAGAATGCCAATATTTGGTTGTAAACGATTACACCTTCCCCTCTGCAATCTCAATACTAATACCTTTTACCGCAGGTGGTGGTTGCTTCAAATGTGGTTCTATAGATCATATTGCCAAGAATTGCAATGGAGATGCTACAATGAAACAACCTGCAAAATACATCTTGAAGGATGATAATGCCCAACATGGTGGAGATAATGCAAGGTCTGTATTTCTGATCATGTGTCAGTCTTTTACTGTCTGTGATTTTGTCTGTCCAAATGAGCGACAGCAATTTCATGGTGTAGATACGAAATGGTTTTTGATGGAGACAAGACAGAAAGTTCAAGGCCAGATGTAAAATACCATAGTCATGACAGGGATGATCTAGTTGAGAAAAAGGATAGGAAGGAAAATTTTAAAGATCATAGAGGTCGTAGGGATCAGGAGATGGTAGGCTCAAACAGCAGAGATAGGTATGGTGATAGAAGCAGAGGGAATGGGAGAAATGGAGATGATAAAGCGCGATCTGAAAGAGATACAAGAGATTTGGAAGCTGACAAGAAAGACCGAGAGAAGTATATGGGAAGACAGAGAGAGGATGACAACAGACGGAAAGACGAGCTAGACTCGAGAAAAAGAGACTTAGATGATAGATACATAGAAAGACAGGGTAGTCGAGATTGTAGAAGAAAAACAGATTCTAGCCATTTGGAGAGAAGGAATGACAGAGATTATAGGAAGAGATCTGAAGACAGTGGAAGGCAAGATGTGAAGATTGATTCCAGAAGAAGAAAAAGAAGCCCGGGTGAAGATTACAAACATGGAAGGGAGGGTGAAGATTACAGACATGGAAGGGAAGAACGTGGACATAGAAGACAAGATACTGAATCTGATGACTACCCTCGTAGGAGGCATCATGGTGAAAGGAGATGATTATTGATGTCACTGTATCCTAATCCTAAGCTCAGAACGTTTTTCAATGAAACTATAGTCCATGAGAAAACGGACTTTTCTTTGAACGGCTATCATGGATGTCCCTTTTGCTTCATTTTTTCCGGTGGGGCAAAGTACAACACTTGTTTATGATGAATGCAGACTGATACGGCTTTAGACCATTTTGCTACTCAATTTTAAAGTTGTCTGAGGGCTAGTTACTGTTATTAATCTTTAAATGCACATGTATTCAAATGCGATATGAAAAATTAATTAAATTTTGATAATCATTTATTTAGACTATTGTTTTGCATCAAAAAGATATTGTATTAATGTTTCAGAACAATGTTTTTGGAATTTTTTATATGGAAAAAGTGTCTGTCATTTTAAAGGATATAAAGTTGTGTCATTTTAAGAGAGAGAAAGAGATAGATAAAAGAGGAAAAAGAGTTGACAAAAAGAATAAAGGTGTGGATCCTACCTCTTTCTGAGAGTGAAATGATATAAGTTGTGTTATTTAAAAGGATAAACATTTTTCCATTTTTATATTTAAGAAACAGTTTTATTCGAAGATTTTCTTTACTCTAATATAGTATTATGATTCCACTCGTAACTTTAACGGCTGTGTGATTTGTTTTTTGGCTGGGACCTCCTTAATTACCCAAAAAAAGGAACTTCATTCATCGCCAGCAATGGCCTTTTGTTACTTCTAGACATTTCTTGGTTCAACATTTTGATAGTACTAATTTTTTCCTTTCATTAAATCTTTACTGTTTCCAATTCTTTCTTTCTTTTTTTAATACAGTTTCCAATTCTTTTCATTTTATAGAAAGGTAATTGAGTGTAGAATATAAAAAAAATGGGGGGCTTGTAGAATGCGGTTTGTCCGCAGAAAATTAAAGACCGAACCATGTTCGGATAGGTAGAAAACATAAAAGTGAGGAATTAACTAAGTGGGTTTATGGGAACCCCTTAGTGACTTGAGGCAAGTAAAATAAGTTATAAAAGTAGCCTAAATAATTATTTCGCAAAGAGTTTACAGTTACGGTCACAGTTTTTAATTATTACGCTTTTATTATTTTAAATGTTCGCGTAATAAACGGAAAAAGTTTATTCGTATTTTATAAATGAATTGCTGTGATTGTAACTGCGCTTAATATCATAATTAATGTTAACAATATCAGTGTATAACGGGCTGTTACACTTAGGTATGAGTTAAATATTTTATGTTTGATTAGGAGTTATAAGTCCCTAATAGATGGTGTACACTTGAATAAAGTGGGAAGGTTAATGTAGAGAAACAAATGGAATATCTGACGTCTAATCCTAAGGGATTTGACCACTTGAAATTATTATGCTAGTGAAATGTTAATTTGAGAGATACTGAAATATGAGATTTAAATCCATAAGCAGGTAGTGTTGATTAAAAATAGGTGAGATGAAGTAATTGTATATTATGTGTATAAGGAAGAAGTTGAGAGAATCGTCATGGATGGCATAAGATAGATGTACAATGAAGGCACTATTGTATTTAATAGATGTCGATTCAAATTGGCAGGCTTGTCAGTGATAAAATGGATAGGATGGTTGAATTGTATAATCATATGTAAAATAGTCATGAGAATGACGTAAGAAATTAGGATCCAGTGGTGGGTATTTATGCTACTAAAAGTAGTGTGCTTGATAAATAAGTTGATAATTGATATGGAAGTAGGGGGAAATAATATGATGTGGTATAGTATTAGTACAAATAGATAGGGCCTCCTAGTAGTGGGGATGAGACTTTCTCAGTAGCAATGCACCGTGTGGATTGTCAAGTAGTGTTGACCAAAGAGTAGAATTATAGTTAAAGGATACCCTTGGAAAAGTACCCATTAAATCTATGTCTAGGAACATACTCGGCCTACGGGCCGTTAAATAGGCTTATGTGCCATTGGGCAAACTTAAATGACAAAGGATATTCGTAAAGGATAGGTGAGTTATACTTAATGGACTGATTGTCAGTCTACGTCTTGGAAGGGTAAATGGACACTGGTCCTGTGAGGGCGTAAGTGCTAGTATATATATATATATACCTCGAGTGAACCTGAGTGCCGGTAAACAGATGTTGTGATCGTGAAATTATTCTGGGCTTCTCTTTGGAGATTGAATCCTAAGAAGTATGACTCTTGGAAGTCCCAGGTGGACATTGTTAGAAGTGGAACTCATTGGATGGCCTCTGTGTGCGAATTGCGTGAACCAGTAAATGATGGCATGCCTCGTAACGTATTAAAGAATCGATAAAGGGAGTGACGATGTTTGAAACATAGTGGGTATTATACAACTGCCAAAGGGTGTAATGAGCAAGAAATAATGGACAATGGATTTGAACGGTAACATGATAGAAGGAACTATTAAGAGTTAGGAAATATGTACAAAATTATGAGGAGAATATGAATTCTTGTAATGGTGACGATGTTATGAAACAGGTTTGAGGGTTAACCAAAATGAAAGTAAACTATCGGTGGGGAGAATTAAATGAGGAAGTATAATGAATTTACTTATATGTAATGTGTGTATATTATACCATACTACTATTATTATTGGGGGTAGCCACATGTGAATATACTAAATATATTTTACCGTTATATACAGATGTGAAACAGACAGCAAATGGACTGGGTCCATGTGTGATCTGGAGTGTACTGGGTACACGTTTTGCCATTATATACGGATATGTTATAAGTATGAGCTCCCCTGTGTACTGGGTACACGTTTTCTGTTATATACAGATATGTTATAAATATGAATTCCTCTGTGCACTGGGTGCATGTTATACGACTTGATACTATTATCTCTGTGCGGCTTATGTGCCTGGAGTGTATGGCTATCTCTGTGCGGATTATGTTCCCGGAGACTATTATTATGTTATATGAGGAATGTGATACAAGGGCGTATCCTGCATCGGTGTGACTACTAGTACAGGTGAGAAGCCTTATGTAAAAGCACAACAGGGATTGTGTCGTGTAAGGAACGCAAGATGTGATATCAGGAAATTTTGAGTGAACAGTTGTTAGTATATGGATGTCCTAGAGACAATCTTTTGATTAGATTAGGACATATGTGGACCTTTTTATATTGTCGCAAATAAATAATAAGCACTCTTTATCTTGTTTCATATTTTGTCTCAATATTATTGTTAATATATTATATGAGTAACTGGATAAACCCCTTGGAATAAAATAGGTATCTATTGAGTATCTGTGATGAGATCACGATCGTGAGGATTTAAGGATACCAGATGTTTATTCCTAATTTTATGTTCCTAGTCTAGAGACACTGAAAATGGGGATAAGTAGTCTCGAGTAAGACTAGCACGACTTATCTACTTGTATTCGGATACAAGGTAAAGACCTCATGAGCTACAGATATGGAGATGTCTTAGCTAAAGTCGTGGGTGGACCTATAAGGGTATAACTCGCACTGAACAGACCCACAACGAGACTCTATGAGGAAATCTTACAAAAATATCATTAGAGCAGTCTCTTAATATTTGGGTATGTTTTTCCTTAGACCATAAGTTGTCACCTAGACTGTGTTCTAGAAGGCATGTTTTGATTGTATACCTCGTATGCCTGAAACATGGAGACTCATAGGTATACTTTTGGGCATGTCCTGAAAGAGCACAGGCCTAGGGTGATAAGTTGAAGAAATTCGTCAAATCTCTGTAAAGGATTAGGTTATCTGTAAACCGGAGAAATCGGGATGACATTTACAAGACTCGGTAATCTATGCATAGTAAAAGAGATCATGAGATGATCTGCCTTTAGAGTCAGTAGATTGAAGATTCCCTATTTTGAATTAAAGCTTACCCTAAACCGCAAGGGTTGATACGTAACCTCACCCTAGGTTTAATGGGAAGGTAACCAAGACGAAAGGAAATGCATACAACAACCAAATATGTGTAATAGGATGATAAAGTCATTAATCTAACTAGTTCTGGGGCAACAAAGCATTGCTAGTGCTCTGTGTTGTCATTAAATGGGTTGTGGGCTTGTTGGGCCCGAGCCCATTTATGTCAGCGGCTATGTTGGACCTAATGGGTCACACACTAACACCTTATTGTCATGATGAATCTAGCATTAAAGGTATTGGGCCTAATAATGGTTGTTAGCCCAAGAAGAAGTTTGGAAGCCCACCTAAAAGAGAAAAGGGCGCATGGATCATGTAATGGGCTTGGATGGTCCAAGACATTACTAATTAATTTAATTAGTTAAATTAATTATCAAATATTTAAATTTTGAATTTTGAATTTGAAATTCGAATTTTGAAATTCGAATTTTGAATTTTGAATTTTGAATTTTGAATTTTGAAATTTGAAATTTGAAAATTGAAAATTGAAATTTGAATTTTGAAATTTGAATTTCGAATTTAGAATTTAAATGTTTGAACGTTTGAATTTAAATGTTTGAATTTGAATTTGAATTGGCTTTGAAAGGTTGTTTCATAACAAAAGGATAAGATAAGATCTTGTTGGAACAAATCCCTTGTATCAAGAGGAGATCTTTGGAGATCACCAAGAGCTGTTTGGGGCGCTGATTTGGTGTGATTATAAGTGTCATCTAGTCAACCAAATAAGCTCCAATCAGATTTGGTTGGTTGAGAGAATCAGTGAGTGAGTTGGTTCAAATTTGAATGCAACTGCTCAACGTATCTGGACCCCTTTTGGGGCGGAATGGGGCGCATAGATGGCTGGCCATATGATGGCCATTAGGTCAGAATTTTGACTAGATAAAGATCTAGTCTCATGAGGATTGAATAGTAGGTTGTTGGGAATTTTGAATTGCAACAACTCCACCTTTTCTCTCCCTTTATGTGCGCCATTTGTGATCAGAATTTGGGGTAGAAAATCTGATTGCATCCTTGCTTCCTCTCATCATTTTGGTGCGCCACTTTTGTTAGGTTTTTCCTTAAGTGTTTTTGGAATTAACCTAGCCTTTTCTAAGAGCACCCATGCCCCACTTTTGTGAAGTTTTCATGCTGAAGACTTCACTCTTCTAAACACCTTTACCTAGCCTCCTCCTTCACACATTGGACGCCTAGCAAGCTTTTGTGGTGATCAATTGGTGGCTTTTCAAGAAGAGTTCTTGCATCTTGACGTGGGGTGGTGTGGATCAACGTTAGAGGGTTTGAACCCTTCAAACCTGACACTGATCTCCTTGGTGTTTGAATCACAAACAAAGGTAACATCATGCTGTCTTTAAGCATGAATCTTGATTGCATGTGTTATTCCGCTTGAAAAATTTTATTTTTCCCTCTCACATGCTTCGACCTTCAAGGTCATTTTTCTATCAAGTGGTATCAGAAACCGGTTGCTTTACCATCGGTGGATGATGGTACCTTGTTTACGAAAATTGTTTTTCACGGTCAAAAGATCTTTAAAGGGTTAAAGCTTGAATTTTTGTATATGAATTTTGAATTACAATGCTTTAAATTGTTAAAGTTTTTGTTTTTATGAACATGTTAATACGATTACTATGTTCATATATCTATATGTAGTCATGGTTTTGTTTCTTTTTCTTTGTGAAAGTTTTAAAAGGAAACACCTTTTTTGAAAGGGATGATTCGGCCATGAAGGGTACTTAGAGTACCTTGATTGTTTTCTTATTTTTTTCCATGAATTGTATCATGAGCATAGCATGAAATTTTTTGTGACAAATTTTATCACATACATGTATATATGATTCGGCCATTAAAGGGTTTATGACTGCATGAATGGTTTAATTTAGTGTTCTTTGAGAAAGAGTTAACAAAATTTGAATTATAAAAATTGTTATATAATTCGGCCATTAAGAGAAAAATTAAGAAAAAATTGAATCATGATTCTTGTAATTACATTTTAATTGTTAAAATGTTAAGACGTGTGAATGAACATATTTTATGATATTTGATATCTTGTGCTTGCAAAGTTGTCTAACCTTTCAAGTGCAAAAGGGGAAAGGGATAGTCATGGTGCCCGAATTTGAATTTCAAATTTTTAAATTAAAGGTGTAATTTTGCTCTATTTAAATAGAGGTGTAATTTGAATTTTAAATTTTGTAATTTTTCATTTGTCCCTCCAAAGATGTTTTGGAGTTTCTTTAATTATTTGTAATTAGAAAATTAGGCTAGTGGCTTTTAGACGACAAGCAGACGTGGCTTGAGAAGCAAGATAGACGAATGCGCGAGCACCATGACTATCTCAAATAAAAGTGTTTTATATGCTTGTATGTTTTAAAAACGACTAGTATGCATGAGATAGTGTATCGCGGATGTATGCTTTTATGTTTTAAAAATGACTAGTATGCATGAAATTGGACAAATCGCGTTTGTATGTATTATTATGCACGTCCAATAACGACTAGTGTAATCCGATGGATGTTTGACATAGGATACGACTAGCATGATAATAATGCATACGCGTTTGATGAGACTTAATAAACCCTAAATAAAAGGAACCCTTAAAAGGAATAAATTATTAAGCGCATGATTACCTCCCACCACCAGTGTTACTCAAAACTCTTCTAAATAGTGGTGCTCCACAACTCAGTTGGGACCCACTGTTTCGTTGTGTAAGAGTAGTATTAGAAGTGTGAGATACTTAAGGTGCTGGTTAGTGCTTAACTAAGAGCATGAGTTGCAGGCTCAGCCGGGCTCATGTGCTTAGGGTAATAGTGCTAGGTTGGTTGCATGAGATGCACCACTATGTGACAAGGAGTTGTCAATCTAATATTAAGAGAAGGTATGAGATACTGTTGATAAAGATCAACCCATTATTTAATTTAATCTTGCGGTCTCAGACGAGGCTTAAAATAATTAATCGCACTCTTAAAATCCCACTCAATGAACAAAGTAAATAGTACTAATATAAGCATAGAAAATAGCATAGTATTGTCCGATTCATGAGGATAGAAACAAACAGTATTTTGAGTACTCAAATAGGAAATATCCATAAAAAGATGTCTTATGCTTTTAACATTTCGATGAATTTGCTGTGAATATTTGTTATTGCGAAACAAAGTAATCCTTTCATCATTATTCATTGTTAAAAAAGATAATAAATGAATTTTTGTTTTTTTATCTTCTTTACCCTTACCCCATAAAGATATTGAATAGAATGAACTCTTTTTTTTTCCATTGAAATTTTGAAAATGAACATTTAAATATCCATCAAAAACAAGTAAATAGATCCGAAACATATAAAATGCAGTTAATCCTGCTGCAGAAAAAGCTATTATTGCGAAAAATGGTGAATACAACCAACTATCATTAAGAATCTCATCCTTAGACCAAAAACAGGCAAAAGGTGGAATACCACAAAGAGAAAGTGTACCAATTAAAAAAGCAGTTTTTGTAATTGGTGTATGTTTTGTTAAACCGCCCATAAGAACCATATTTTGACTTTTATCTGGAGAATATCCAACAATAGCTTCCATTGAATGAATAATGGATCCGGATCCTAAAAACAACAATGCTTTTGAATAAGCATGAGTAATCAAATGAAATAAAGCAGCTCTATAACAACCCATACCTAGAGCCAACATCATATAACCCAATTGAGATATTGTTGAATAAGCCAAATTTTTCTTAATATCCTTTTGAGCAAGGGCTAAAGTAGCTCCTAAGAGTACTGTTGTTATACCTATGAAAGCTACGACTTTCATGACAAAGGGGATAACTATGAAAAGAGGAAGAAGCCGCGCTACAAGAAAAATTCCTGCCGCGACCATAGTCGCGGCGTGTATAAGGGCTGAGATTGGAGTAGGCCCTTCCATAGCATCCGGTAACCATACATGAAGGGGGAATTGGGCAGATTTCGCAACCGAACCGCAAAATAAAAAGAGAGCACACAAAGTAACAAAAAAAATATGAACCTCACCTTTCGAAATCAAATTTTTGAATATTTGAAACAAATCTTGAAATTCCAAACTACCCGTTATCCAATAAAGACCTAAAATTCCTAATAATAAACCAAAATCCCCCACACGATTAGTTACAAACGCCTTTTGACAAGCATTTGCCGCAATAGGACGTGTGAACCAAAAACCTATTAATAGATAAGAACACACTCCAACCAATTCCCAAAAGATATAAATTTGTATCAAATTAGAACTAGTAACCAATCCCAACATTGCAGTATTAAAAAAACCCATATAAGCAAAAAATCTCAAATATCCTTGATCATGAGACATATAATTATCACTGTAAATAAGAACCAGAATACCTACAGTAGTTATTAATATTGACATAATAGAAGTAAGTGAATCAATAAAGTATCCAAACTCTAAAGAAAGATTAGCATTTATAGTCCAAGACCATACATATTGATATATAGAACTTTTATTGATTTGATGAATAGACAGGTCGACTGAGTAAATCATAACTATAGTTAGCAAAAAAATACTAGTAAAGGCCCACATACGGCGAAAATTTTTTGTTGCCACAGGAAACAGCAGAAGTCCAGCCCCTATTAACATAGGGACTGGAAGTGGAATGAAAGGGATGATCCACGAGGATTGATATGTATAGTCCATAAAAAAATTGAAAAAAAAAAATACATGTTTATTTTTAATGAGTTTTGTTGCTTATTCGCAAATTTTTTTTATCTCTTTTGTAAAGGGTTCGGTTAATAATAAATAAAAATGGAACAGTTCAATCTTTGCACAATACTTCTAGTTTAAAGTAAAAAGGGCCAATACCGAAATTCTCGGTAAATAAAAAATAGATTTAAAATCAAAATTTGAATTTTTATTTTAGACAAATAATAAATAGTGCACTAAAAAAAAAACATTCGTTTATTATGAATAAGAAAAAATTCATATGATATTTATACAATAAAATAAGAATTTTTATTAAGAAACGTAAGTTTATTTTTGAAAGAATTGATTATTTTCCATTACAATAAAAAGATATCCATGTTGAGGAAACATTTTGAAAGCGAGTTCCCTTTTTTATAAAAGTGTGTTATAATCTAGAAAGTTTTACTTTAAAGATAGAAAACGAGGAGGTTCGAGTTGGATGGCAGTTCGTAATAATATAAATTACACCGATTCGCGGAATTTTCTCGAATACTGATGTAGAATAAGAATAAAATATTGAATGTATATATTCATAATAGGATTTAGAATACCATCTCCTATTCGTTAGGATATTATTCTATATTCTATTATTAGATTATTATTTATTTTGAATGGAGTACCA